TTGTTGACAATTTTATGAAACATTTTAAATTTCCACTGCTTTCTTTTGAATTACTTTTTTGGGTTTTTGCCACAAACTCTGATTTTCCAATACCGATATCTTTGCAAATCAATGGAGTAGTCCTAAGATATACTAATTAGAACATTTAAGTTTCTTTCAAAACTCTTTTTCATACTTTATAAGCCCTTCAGTTTTAATATCTTATCTACATGATTGCAAACAACCCAAACGAGATTTTAAATGGTAGAGAGATTTTTATTAAACATCACTATACATATAAAGAAGAGAATATTCAGTAGTTTTAGCAACTATCACTTCAACTTAATGCTTAATTTGAAACTTCTTCGAAAAATTTATAATCTATGTTAAGGGAATACAACTATTTTGAGGACTTTTACACAGTATTTTGTTGTGCCAAATTTAGGACTTTTTACAGAGAATTCTTTCTTTAAGATTTAAAATTCGGTGATGGTGATGGACCAAACCTCTGTAGAGTAAAAAAGTAGATGTTAGTTCCACATTTATTGAAAATATATTTTGGTCTGGGTTGTCCCTCGTCAGTTCTAACGACATAATAACCATCAAAATCGAAAAAAAAAAAATTTTAAAATGAAAAAAATCACAAGAAGATAAACAAACAAAAAAGATTATTCAAAATAAAATTTGGGCTGTCAAATGGACATAAGGAAAACGAACTCAGATTATGAGATGGAAAAAAGATAATTTGCAAATATTCACTTTTAAAAAAATGTTTTAAGTCAATTATTATTCTTTGAGATTGTTTCTTCACAAAGATTAAAAACAAACTGTGTAGATGTGTGTGTATAGAGTGGGGGGTCTTTACGGTTACCCTTAAAGTCCTGAAAATTTAAAAGTCCTTAAAAAATGAATGTTTACTAACATGTGTAAAATGGAAATATTTTTTTAAATCATCTTCTTTCCGAAAGACTTTTTGATATATTTTTAACCTCTACAAGGTTGTATAATAAGTCGGGTTACTCACGATGCGCTCCAATGTACAGAAAATATCGTCACCAAGATATATAGATAAAACCTAATATGACGTCACTCTCACCTCTATAATCAGTTACGACTTTTTAAAATTCGTTCTGAACATTTCAAAACCAAAAATCAAAACGACGATATGTTCGTCTGATAGAACAAACAATCGTTTTCGAAAATATTTTCTTAATTAAATTTGAGTTTTCGACATTTAATTTATTTAACCTAAATTTGTATTTTATCTACTAAAGGTTAGGCGAATAGGTTTAGTTAGGTAGGTGGATTATAAGATCTGAAAAGGTATTTTCAATAATGGAACAATTTTTTTATTTTCTTTAGAAAAGAGCTCTGCATTTTTGATGATGATTAGGATAGGCTATTTTTTGTCTATTTTACATTGAAAATTTATAGAATCAAGAATTATGTGTAATTGTGTAGTTGTACAAAATGATTTCATTGTTATTGGATTATGGATATGTGCTTTAAAAATAGATAATTTGTGTCAACGACCTAATGGTAAAAATAATCGATTCTACAACGACAGATCGTTAATAAAGTTAATAAATTTTCATCAAAAATTTGCCGCATTTATCATAAAAAAAACTTAGAACTTAGAAAATTTTGTAAAAGTTATTATGGTAAAAGTGTTACTTTTTGCAAAAGTATTTATGGCTAGTGTAGGTAATAATTATGTTTAACGTATTCATGGCAAATGTATAATGGAAAATAGAACAGAGCCCACAAATCTTCTGTAAAGAATGTAAATAATGATTGTCTTAATGTTTTACATTACCACAATCAAACGAACTGGATACATCATGTTTATGTTTATGTAAAGCAACTATAAGATCTAAACCAAGCGTTTATGATATTCTAGTTTAAAATGAAGTATGTGAAACTTAATCAAAAACTTAATCTTCAATTTGATTAGAATTAATTTTTAAAGTTTCGTTAATCCTATAAAATATTTATTTCAAAGTTTTCATCAAGCTTATACAAACTAAGTCAGGGTTACAAAAGAGGGCGGGGGTAGGTAGAATCCCTTTTTTCATTATCCCTTTTAAAGGGTAACCCAGTGTCAAGGATAGAAACCCACCATCCTCGTTTCAATTATCTATCATGTATTTGCACAAACCTGCTGTGTTGTGAATATGAAAATAAAAATAATAAAAACCTTCTTTTAGCTAGATATAGCTTTTCATCATAGTTTGACCTTACCACCAGAGGTGTATACAGGGATGATACAACTCAATCTCGAACTTGCTTGTCCGATTGAAAATACTCAATCTCTATCAATCCAAATAAGACTCTGTTGTATTCTTTAGTATGTATCACTCAGATACAACTAGCTCTCTCTGTATTCTTTTGTACCTGTCTTACAAGACACACCTCAAATCCGTCTTGTTCGCTAACACTGTAATCAAGCAGAGTATAATTCCAACTAACATATATTTTGAGTTCTATGATACAGGTTAAGTTAATGAACGTAACTATTAGTTTTACCTCGTTATTTACAACCATAGTTAGATTATTTGCAGTACAGCTAGCTTTACGTAGTTATTTACAAGCGTAGTTAGGTATATAGACAAAGTACAAAATAATGTTCTAGGTGTGTTCAGGTTTATAAATGTGTTGTTTACTACGATATTTACTGCAGGTTTATGTTTTTTTTTAATTAGGTCATTTTTTGGCATACAGATAGATGTTAGGTACTTTTCCAAAGGCATTTTCCCAAGCGACAACTTCCCAAGGGTATTTTCCCAAGTCGCAGTATCCCAAATGTGCAACTTTCCAAGTGCCAACTTCCCAAGTCTCAACCCCCTAGTCAGTTCTAGCCGAAGCACTTGGTCCCCAAGCCCTTCTTGGCTGCAGCGCTATGTCTTCTTGTCAGCCTATGTTGGTTCAGAAGGCCTAATCTAACCTTTGGGAAACTGGCGCTTGGGAAATTGCACATTTGGAAAGTGATCACTTAAAGATTGTCACTTAAGGGAAGTTACCCTTTGGAAGTGCCTTTGAGAAAATGCCCAAGACCATGCCGACAAAAAAGAAAAGACAGAAACTTGAACTTTGATCTACCTTTGATAAACTCTTCTATCATTAAAAAGTATAAAAGAACATGAATACAGAAACCACAAATTGAAATAATCTTTTTTCGCCTATTAAAGTAAGGATATTTAGTTATTCCACAATTAGACCAAGGTTTAAATAGTACCCCTGCGAATCTGACATGTGGACGTCACTCTATGCATAAAAGTAGTGTATAATCATGAATAAGAATCAATAATTTGATCAAAATTCTTGATTAGTCTACTAGCGATATTGTCGATTCTGAAGTACAAATACTTAATAATATTTTGATGAATAATCAAAATAAAAATAATATTGTTTTGAACCATTTAAAATGAATAAATAACGATCGTCCAATTTGTTAAATTAAAACATCAGTGTACTTTATGGCAAATGCTTTTATGTATATCTAATACATGTATTGCAAACATTATTGTTTTTAATTAGGTTCTCAAGTTTATAACTTAAGATAAAGATATAAACAACTAAATATAAAGAATGTTTTTAATCAAAAGAACACAATTACAAAACTTATTCATTTCGCAGTAAGAAAACAATAAGAAGATAGCTAACGCTAAAAATAGAAAACTATAAAATAATATTTGCATTTTTTTTAAATTATAATAATTATAATAATTATAATGTGTTTCGACATTTAAATTTATAAAAAAAAAATTTTCACATTTGGTCTTAGAGATCTGAGATCGTTTAAATTTAGCCCTGACAGCGCTGTTGCCTTTTAATTGTTAAATTATGCGCTGTCTCTCAAAAATATTTGCTCCTCTTGTCGAACTTTTTGACCCTATGTCAATTTATCCTATGTCGTTTTACCCTTGTCGCGTTTTTAACCCTATAATGTTGTTTGTCCCAGGGTCGTTGTACCCAATGATGTTCGAGTTTTGACCCTATGGCATTGGATCCTAGGTTGTATTTTGTCTAAAAAAGGTAAGGTTTAGCTAGGAAGGTTCTAAAAAACTATCTTGGGGGTGGAGTTAAATGTACATGACTTAAACGCATGATGATGATATTTCTAAGATTGTTTTTATTCTCTCTCCAATAATTGCTGACATTCAATTGCAATGATTTGTTTTTCTAGTAGAATTGAATAAAATATAGTTTGTAAATAATAGATAGAATAATAACCACTCTGTTGTGTTATCTATTCTCTGTATAATATTGGATATCATTATCCACGCTAGGAACATAATCCCAGTAGAATCCATAGAGACGGAGGCTCGTGAGGGGGAAGATTGGTAGGGAGGGTTATAAACCCTGAAAAGCTGGGAGAGGGGGGCTTGGTTGAGCGGGGGAAGGCAGGTGGCCATGAGCCACCACTATTTCCCTTCCGTGACACACATATTATCTTTTTTCTCTTCCGGCAGCCATGAGCCACCACTATTTCCCCATCTCTGCTACCACATTTGACTCTTCCGGGCAAAACTACTTTTTAAATGCTATATTTAGGGCCTTTAAAGTCTGATTTAAAAAATCCAGCCGCGTCACTCAAAAAAGCACGACTCAACCCATTTTTTCAATTCTACTTAAGAGTTAAGGGAGTGTTTGCGAAAAATGAAAGGGGTATAGGCTTAATGCGATTAAAAAGCGCTTTTGATCACCACTAATCTTACTTCTATCTGTTGCGTCTATAAGGAGAAAATTGTTAAAAACGACTAATACCGAAGAACGTAGTGTCCATACAAATTCAGAAAGATGCAATATACAACTTAGACCGTAAAATAATCAATTTAATTTCAAACAGATCAATTCAGATATTACAACCTTTTTGGGTAACATAGTATCTTAAAATCATATTCTTTATTATATTATAATTTCTAAACATTGAAAAGGAGGCGAATTTTTAAAATTTGTACTTTATATTAACAGTTTCTTAGCTTCATGATGAATAAATTCTTAACTAATATTTTAGAGAAAATGATGCGAACAAGAAGAATAGGTATTCATGGAAGCTAACAAAGAATTTGTATTTTAATTTCTTATCAATTGCTTTCTCGAAAATTATTATCATAGTAATTAATAATCCATTACAAATTTTTTTCGTCGAATATAATACAATTTTATGCATTCATCATAATATTCTTCATCTGACATCCTTCAAACTTCATCTTGTATCTTCATCATTTATTGAATATTCCTAAAATTTCTATAAAATATTCACTTTTATTAAAGTACAAGTATTGTTTACAGATTAAATCTCTTGAGACAGAGAATGAAAAAAGGATGTAACAAAAACAAAAATATTTTTTTACAAAGTACATCAGACAAATCAAATCAAATTAGCTATTTTCGGCACATCACTGATACATATATCTAAATCGTTGGTGTTGTATCCTTTATTAGAATTTCTTCATCCTTCATATCTAATATCAACATTTTAATGAACACTTCTTTAAGATTTTGGATTTTTAAACAAAAGAAAAATTTTAAAAATATGTTTCTTCTGTTTTTGCTAATTTTTATGCTAAATCTTTATATTAGGAATTTTTAATGATCTCGATCTTTCTCATGGATTTTAAGCCCTAATATTGATAAGCATTAATCAAACATTCTTTATTCTTCAGCTCCTTTGCTCGGATTTGCAGGATTAGCAGGGTTTGGTGTTGGGGTCGCTGGAATGTCTGTTAACAAGGAGGTTAATATTTAGTTTTAGTTTTATTATTAAATGCAGATTTTTTTGCTGCTTTAAAAAAAATATTTTCATTAATAAATCTAAAACAATTTTGAAATAACACAAGAATTACATAATTTTCATATTAACAGCTAAGCTAACTTAATATTATTTGTTTTGAAACAAAAGGCCACTATAAAGTTTATAAAGTTTTATAAAGTTTTATAAAGTTTATAAAGTTTTATAAAGTTTATAAAGTTTTATAAAGTTTTATCCAATGAAGCAAAAAGCTTCTGTAAAAAATGCTAGCAAAAAAATTGATTAATTTCTTTCAAAAATAAAAAAAACGTCTCAAAAATTATACTTTTTATTAATGAACATGAAAAATATATCTTATAGTATTGTCCAAAACATTAAACTCGACATATTATCAATTGATTTAGACAAATTTCTGTTCGCCAAGGATTTTGAAATTTATAAATTCCAATCCATTAATTTATATGAATTACACAATTCTTTTCTTAATGGTGTTTCGTAATAAAAAGAAAAAAGATGACGTCACTAATTCTGTTCTCAGGAAACTATCGGCCCCGGTGTCATGCATCTATTTATCTCCCCTGCGATGGTTCATCCCCAGCCTACAGTTTTGGCCATTTCAACAAATAATAATGATTTATTTCTTTTCTAAAATTAAAACTGTGAGTGATCGTTCATTTTCAAAACAATTCAAGGATTTCCATTTCCGCACATATTATGAATTGGAATCTTTGGAACATAAATCAACTTCCAAGACAATCCATAATTGAAGAATATTCAACAATTCAGAAGAGCGCACTTTCATAATATACAGAATAGCATGAATTAATAAAAATATTTTATTTTCTAAATTGTTCTAAAATTTGTTTCGAAATTATACTTTTAAATACGAAGAATGAACATGAGATCAAGTTTCTTCCATTTTTAATAAAAAAAAATTCTCGTAATTTTCTATTGAATTTAATTGTAAGAACAATATATTACTTGTAAAAATTTTTAATTTTACCAGAAATATCATAACAGAATAAATATTTATAACACTGTTCTTTTGGTTCGCTGTGTTATAATTTTTTTGGACAGAAATTTTCTCTTTATTGAGAAGGTTCAAGCCTTTTTAGATTTAATTTTGACTCTAGCTTTAGCGAGGGTCAAAATTCAATCTAAAAGGCGAGAACCTTCGAGATATAAAGAAAATTTAAGTCCAAAAACACATGTCATGCCAAAATAATAGTGTTATAGGTAATTTTATTAAACGTTTGTGTGCTTGTCTTATTTCAATAGCTATTTCTATAGATCAAATAAGCTATGAAACAAAGCAGAGCTTTATAGCACGTATATTAGGAAATTCACGATGAAGTGAGTAAGAATGATAAAGTACACAAAAGTTTCATAAAATATTACTTAGATACATTTTTAATGTTTGATTATTTTAATTCTACCATATGTGAAAAGCTTCTTTTGTTACCAAATTGCGTGAATGCTTGAAAGTATCATTGATTCAAATCTTTGAAATGTCTCAAAATCGCGACATTTTCCAAAACATGTTTAATCGGCCCAAACTTCGCACATGCCTCGGAAATGTGACATGTCTGAAATGTAAACAATAATCATCAAAAATTGAAAATTATTTATTCGCAGGGGTTAGAGTATTTAAATTTTGTGTTAAAAAATGTAGCCTTCAGTTAGGTTAAAAAAGATAATGTTGAACATTTGGTCCAGACCTGACACTCAGTTTCAGGTCTGGACCCAATCATGATTTGGAACTTTCTTCACCTCTAATTCACATCAGCAAGTGTCATAGTATTATTTGATTTCTAACATTGTGTTGAAATGGTTAAAATGCTAGGGGGCCGGGGGATGAAATATTGCAGAGAGATGAACTGATGCATTACACCGTTGATCCAGGAGCTGAACTCTGTTGCTAAGCCCACTACTGCACTTGTGATTGGTGGAGGTATTATGGGCCTCTCTACCTCCTTACAGGTACAAACTGTACACTGTACAACAAGTGGTTCAAAGAGTTAGCATAAATGTATATATCAAGTGACCCTTCATTTCAAGAGTTGAATGCCCTATTCACTAGGCTACCCTTTTACCCATTGTTATTTTGTAAACAATAATCCTCAAATACATCAGTAGATATAGAGACTCAGCTTTGATTACTGCGAGAGAGTAATCATGTCCTTGTTCTAAACAAATGCGTTGAAGATTGTGTCCTAGTTGAGGCATTGATAGTTTATGAGATCATGTCCTAGTTGAGGCATTAATAGATCATGTCCTAGTTGAGACATTTATATTTTACAAGATCATGTCCTGAGTCATTGATAGCTCAAGATTGTGTCCTAGTTGAGGCATTGATAGCTCAAGATTGTGCTCTAATTGAGGCATTGATAGTTACATGCTTGTTTCCAAGTAGACATTGATAGCTGATTGTGCCCATAGTATTGGCATTGATAGATTACGTGCTTGTGTCCTGGTTGATAGCAGACGAGATCATGTCCGGTATTTAGGCAGTGATAACTGACTTGTACCCAGATAGATACAAGTTCTAGAAACAATAATGGAGTAGGGTATTTACTGCAGATACATCGTTGTTAATTATCATATTTAACCTTTAAGTGACCATGGGATCATACAATTTGTGGCATTGTTACAAAATCACAGTAGAAAATTTTGTATTGACATGATCCTCAACATTGTCATGATGTCATTTTTTATTTTCCGACCTCTTATACTTTAACCTTAAAATAAATAATAATAAAGCCTTCACGTCAAAATAATGTGGCAGCTGGTCGCATGTGCGTCGTGATCTGGTTTACTGGGATGTTGATAGAGGCTTAAGAGTATCATAAATCGAACATACAACTTTTTAAATAAAGGGTTACTCAAGCTATGTTAATATTCACTTTAAAGAAAAGTTCTATTAACCCTATCTCTGCAGCTGCAGGGGTACTTGAAAATCAGGATATGCCCCCTCTGAATCCCATGTTTGATGTCCAAATATAACAAATGATACATCATTGAAAGCTCTTGTGCTCTACTTTTAGAATCTGCAAAAAAAATTTGCAAATTTGCAAAAATTTAATTTTTATCACAAAATCCAGTTATAAAGTAAAAATGTTTGCAAAAAAAGATTTGTCCAAAAATGAAAATTATAAATTTTTGAAAAGCCCTTGACCATGCCATTTCGAATATGCAAAAATTTTTGCAAAATTTTAAATAACCTAATTTTTAATCAAGAAAAACTAAAATGTGCAAATTTCCTTTGACATGTTGTTTGCAAAAAATTTGCAATTTTTTTCGCAAAACTTGTGCAATTCGTTTCCTTATGTCAAAGGCTTTCCAAAAAGCTAAATTTTTTGAAAATCTGACAAGTTGAAGTGGTTCAAAATAAAGATTTAGTTTGTTACAGGAAAAAGCAGTCATTCAGGCAGTGTGCCTGAGGACTCAGGCAGTTAGTATTAAAGCCAGGTTTTAGGCCTAAAGGGAGGGCTTTGGGTATGTATGTATTTCAACAGCCTCAGACCAATACTTTTTGAGTTATATAAAAAAAATAGGGTTAATAGGAATACGGTTAAAATTAAAATGATCTGGGTATTGCAGGGATATCTCTTTACCTAAAATACAATAGCTTACACTTAAGCCTTTATCCGCACTTAGTCTTATAAATCCGCAGTTCATCCTTTTCTTGAAATTGGAATTCAGTGAATTTGAATGCATTTTATTCACTTTATTTATTTTATTTGGTATAATCCATAAACTCTGGAATAGGAAGATGACTGTTAGACTAAAGTTATGAGAGAGTCTATTGAACATTGAACACAGCAATTAACATATTTTTTACTAGAATGGGAAATTGTTCATTTGGCCTACCGTCCCGTTTTGCCTCATAAAGTCCGCATGTGTACTGTACAGTGTACACCTTGCTCTACCTGTGTTTAAAGTCCGTCCGCGGTATAGTACTTGGAGTTTAAAGTGAATTGTGCAGTGTATAATTACATACACATTAGATTGCTTAATTGTATTATTGGACCTATTCAACACTGTATGTAAACAAAATTAACTAAATTTTAATAAATTCTAATGTTAAGTTGGCTGAGAGAGGAGTGCAAGTAACTCTACTAGAAGTTAATCCTTTACCGGCTCAGGTTAAATAAAACATATAACATGGGATTAGAAACTACAGCAGACGTGATTGCAAATGACTCTCCTCTTATAAAGTGGCATGTCTCGTTCAAAATTGATTATTTTCAACTGTTTTATGGCGTTTCTTTTTAAGCGTCGTGCAGAGTTTTACTTTGAAAACAATACGGTAAATTATCATAAATAAAAACTTTTCTAGATTGACAATTGTACCGTGCACTGTTGTGAATCTGGTATGCCACTGTTTAAATGGAGGGTCACGCAATCTCACAGTCCAATTTAAACACAAGATTATGGAATATGAACTTTCTGCATGCAAAATATTAAACTAGCGTTTTTTAATTAAAAAAGTGTTTTCAACCTGCGAAAATTACTGTCATAAACAATCTCAATTTATAAAACTATAGTGGAATCAAAATAATATCATTAACATTAGGTTGCGTCCTACTACAATGGAGTTATTATCTGTAACTCTAGGTTGCGTCCTATTACAATGTAACCATTATCTGTAACTCTTGGTTGCGTCCTACTACATGGAGATATTAACTGTAACTCTAGGTTGTGTCCTACTACAATTGAGTTATTAACTGTAACTCTAGGTTGCGTCCTCTTACAATGTAACCATTATCTGTAACTCTTGGTTGCGTCCTACTACATGGAGATATTAACTGTAACTCTAGGTTGTGTCCTTCTATAAGGGAGTTATTAACTGTAACTCTAGGTTGTGTCCTACTACAATGTAGCTATTAACTGTAACTCTAGGTTACATCCTATAACTAGTACTACAATGTAGCTATTAACTGTAACTTTAGATTGCATCCTACTACAATGTAGCTAAAACCTGTGCGTCCCCCTAACCAGACTATCATACGACAACGGTCAATTTTCTTGGCCTAGTCCCGTCGGAAGGCTAACTATGACAACTCCCATGGCGCGGTCAGACATTTTACTGCAGTACCCGGCCTAATCCTAGGCCTATATGACCGACCCCACTAGCTTAACCAACCGTGTGGTGACTCTAGGTTGCGTCCTACTTCAATGTAGCTATTAAATGTAACTCTAGGTTGCGTCCTACTACAATGGAGCTATTATCTGTAACTCTATGGCAGCAAGCTGGGCAAGTGCGACCTTAATAGGTAACCTAGTAATAAATATTACTGTCATCAATAAGGGCTTCAAACGTTGCTATCTTTAGTCCGTAAAAACTCTACAAATCTTGCTTTCATAAAAAAGGGGTAATAAGGATACGATCTGGCATATGCAGAAGGGATTAGGAGTAGGGTTTCCAACAAAAGTGGATTTTACTTGCGCGCAATTGTAAGCCCTTTAATTATGCGCATTTCCGCGGGATTTAGTGCAATTCCCCGTAATTCCGTAAAATTCAACGCGATTCCACTCAATTCCGCGCAATTCAACGCAATTCCCTAAAATTCAGATTGGTTATCCTAATTAAGAGGGTCGTGGATTAAGGTTATGATTGTGAATTTGGGATCAAGGTATGGGACAATTTGGCCACGACCTAATTGAGAGTTTGTGAATAGCATGATTTAGTATTTGAGCGAGCAACGGCTGGTTTAACTACCTTTGCCTCTGCAGACCTCTTCAGTCTTCTTACATGGACTGCTTGTTAAAACAAAACGATATTATTACCACCATGCATTTTTTTGATTTAACGTTCTTCTTTTTATCAAAATTTGCTGACTTTACGACCCCTCCCCCCCCCCTTTACAATCCTGGAGCCAGATATAGCACATCTATTTAAATACTTTATCTATGACTTAATTTAATCTTTGATATAATTTATCCAAATGTAATGTTTGAAATCCCACTTAAAGTTACTACTTTAATGCATGATATAATTATACTATAATCAAAACATCAACAGAATTTTCATCACAGATTTTTTAAGTTACATAAAATAAGAATTTTTATTTTATCTTTTTTTTAAATTAAATCAAATAAGAATTTTTATTTACGTTTGAAAATAAAACTAAAATTTGAAAATAAACAAACTTATCACAAGCCCGGGGTTATACAGATGAAAAGAAACTTTTATGTTAAAAAAAAATCCATCGCTGGATTTTTCGAAAATTTCACTTTTCAATTCTCAAAATAACTGGATATCAGTATTTTAATAACTTTTTTGTTTATGGGTCGATCTTGCTGACAAAAGTATTTTTATTGAAAAATAGAGAGAACTAGAGTGTTTGCTTGTACCGAACTTATTTTATATATATTTAGCAAAAAACCCTGGAGAATTGAAAACGATGAAAGTAGGATTTGAATCGTGGACAGATCCTAACTTTTATAGGTAAACAAGATCCAAACTTTAAGAACTTTAATTTCGAGTCTTCGTTAAAAAAAAAATAATAATTCTAGATCATAGATAAAGATAGATTGCGTATAAGAAAAATCAAAAATACCTCAGAATTTAAAAATAATTGAGCTATGACCCTTAAATGTTCTACCTCAACCCCCCCCCCCCATAATTTGATATTCTCAAAATAAAATTCACTCCTGAGTGTTTTAATTATTATGAAATCCATTCCATTAAAACACCAAACCCCCAATAGGTATGAGTTCGCGGACCGTACAATTCTTGGTGATTTTGCGTACATAAGCTATTTATGTTAATTTATTTATCTATGTTCTAGATGGTGTGCGTGGTTCTGGATGAACAGCTTGTGGCCGGGCCGAGCAGAGTTTAATCATCAATCTCAACGCCTTCTCTCATACTTCAGCTACAAGTAATATGCTTCTCTTTCTTTTGTGTAGCTCTACAAAAATTGCAAAATGGCTGAATCAAAATTATCAAAAAACTGTGAAATGGGGAAATATCAAAAAGTTTGTGAAAAAAATAAAACTATAGCAACTCCGGAACTGAAATTTTAGAATTAATACCGATTTGATTTCTAGTTAATATCAACTGAGTCAGTCAAATTAGAACACACTAAAACACACGATCAACCTTAGTGAGTGTCTAAAAAATACTGGTTTCAATCAAAAGAAAAAGAAATAAAAGAAGAAATGATAACAAGAAGTATAATAAAATTAGAATTTTTCTGTATTATCTGTATCCAAAATATAAAATTTAAATTTAAAAAAATAAATTGTAAAAAAAGATTCCTGCTTAATCAGCTCGTTTTCCTTTACATTAAATGGCGCGCAACATTTCAAATTTTCCGGCTACTGTTTGGCTGTTGAGGTTTTTCCAACGCCACTCTGATTGGTTTAATCTGATTGGATATTTTTTGCAACATGCATTTGTGATGTAAAATTTTTTAAATGTTTACAAATGCCTTTAAACATGCTAAAAAACAAGATTTAACTTAAAACACAGATTAATGATTTCAGAAGGATTACCCATACATAAGTCTATTTAGATCAATGCAAGAGGAAAAAGCAAAGTACGGAGACAAACTGTTTATGAATGAGACAGCTAAAGGTAAGCTTTTTTCGAATCAGAAGTTTAGAAGTATCCATGTTTATGTGTATATATGCTGTTGGATTGCTTGGCAGGAATCAAAATTCAAGATCGCAAGTCCTCTTGTATTGATTTAAACGACGATGACTGTATAGCAGAAGCTGACACCAAAGAGAATGAAATACAATTACAAAGGAGGCTGGATCGACCCGGTCCGCCTCAACATATGTTTTATACATGCTAAACAGGCGGCTTTTCATTTGGAAAAGAGTTTTTTAAAGGTGGTCTTTTTTAAATCTGGTTTTTTAGTTTAACAAAATAAATAAACCGTTTTTTTTTTATTTTAAAATTATTCTATACTCCTTGTCTAACACCTCTTTAGTACAAAACAATAAGTTCCATTTTGTATTCACTTTTGTATTTAAAAGAAATAATCGTCTGCATCTGTTTTAGTATTTCTATAGCCAGAGCTGGGAACTTTAAATGGGATACATTTAATCCCGACTGTTTAATCCGAACATCCAATGTTGACACTTTTAATTTTTTGCTTAATCCGCTTTTTTTGGATATATAGCACGAAAAATCAAAAACCGGTTTTTTTAAAATTTGAAAGTCCCTCCCGTTTCTTAAATGGTGCGCAAAATTTTTAATTTTCCGGCTTCTGAAACGCGACTTTTCAGGGTACAAGTAACAAGATTAGGCTTGTCTCGAGATTAAGAAAAAGAGAGGATCTAGCATTGACCACGATATCCACCATTGTAAAGTTCCCTGCTCAGTTTTACATTTGATGTCACAAAATTAAGCATTAAAGGGAGTAACTGGCAATGTATGGTAGTTGAACTGAGAATGTAGTATTGTGGAGAAATTTTATAGGATTCATTTGGGACGCTTTAATGATGTATAATTACTGAGTTTGAGCACAAAGTCGACGTTCAAAATCATCCATTTGGATGGGTACGTTTTGAGAATGGATTTTTTTAATTATAAAATGACGACGAAAATAGTATCACAAATTCTACAGTTTCAAACTAATTAGATATTTAAGAACTTATTTCTCAATAGAATTTAGTCATTAAATTAATGTACATAATCAATTATTTCTTTTTCATCATTATATTGAATTTCTTATTCTTTCTGAATTTGCTTGAAATTTCTTCAAATTCTTCAAATGTCGTCTTTTCAATAAAAATTCCTGGAAATCTACAGAAAATATGTGAACAATGAGACATTACAGAAACCAATAAATAAATAAGATTACTTATCTTTAATGATAATAGTTAATTTTTATTCTCTCAACATGTTCTTAAACAACTTTTTTCGTCGCCATGATTGATTAAATTTAACACTATTCCTGCTGGGGGGGGGGGGGTCAATTTGACCCCCCCCATGTAGTTTTTTTTACATAACTCAAAAAGTATTGGTCTGAGGCTGTTGAAATTTTCTGACTTTTCTAACATACCCAAAGCCCTCCCTTTAGGCCTAAAACCGGGCTTTAATACTAACTGCCTGAGTCCTCAGGCACACTGCCTGAATGACTGCTTTTGCCTGTAACAAACTAAATCTTTGTTTTGACCCACTTTCACTTGTCAGATTTTGATAAAATTTAGCTTTTTGGAAAGCCTATGACATAAGGAAATGGATTGCACAAGTTTTGCGAAAAAAATTGCAATTTTTTTTGCAAACAACCTGTCAAAGGAAATTTGCACATTTTAGTTTTTCTTGATTAAAAATCAGGTCATTTAAAATTTTGCAAAAATATTTGCATATTTGAAATGGCATGGTCAAGGGCTTTTCAAAAATGTATAATTTTTCATTTTTTGGACAAATTTTTTTTTGCAAACATTTTTACTATATAACTGGATTTTGCGATAAAAAATTCAATTTTTGTAAATTTGCAAGTTTTTTTGCAGATTCTAAAAGTAGAGCACAAGAGCTTTCTAATGATGTATCATTTGTCATATTTGGACATAAAACATGGAATTTAGAGGGGGGGTCAAATTGATCCCCCCCCAGCATATCCTGGTTTTCAAGTACCCCAGCAGGGATAGGGTTTAAAAAAACGATTCTCAAAATCATCCCTCAATAATGAACAATCTATTAGGATTTTAAAGATTGAATTTACGCTCTTGCTGAAATATATATATACCGTAAACATGTATCGTAGGTCTCAAATGATTCCTGAAAACATTCTCTACAATACTACATTCTCATTTCAATTACCATACATTTCCGGTCACTCCCTTCAAACGAAACTTTCAGATCTTTAGAATTTGTTTTGCTTTAATACTGAAATAGTAAACAGAAGTTCTTAGAATACTTTTAGAGTAAAATATAATTTTCGGGCAATTATTAAAAAAAATTATTTAAAATAATTGTTCACTGTTCAGGCTCTGTAAACTCTTGCCATAGTACAAACTTGCCGAGTAAAATCTTGCCATAGTACAAACTTGCCTAGTAAAATCTTGCCATAGTACAAACTTACCTAGTAAAATCTTGCCATAGTACAAACTTGCCTAGTAAAATCTTGCCATAGTACAAACTTACCTAGTAAAATCTTGCTTTAGTATACAAACTTACCTAGTAAAATCTTGCTTTAGTATACAAACTTACCACATGACACATTTTGCCAAAAAATAGCAATTTCCTCTAAATATTAAAAGGGAGTTTTTTCAAAAACATTTTTTACTTATAAATTTTTCTGATCTCATTTAAAAATAAAAAGAATTAAATTGTTATGAATTGAATTTTATTTGAGCCCTAAATTAAAAAAACATGAAACTGCTTTACAATGTTTAAGACATAAATGATATTTTCTTTGAATTGTTTGGCTCTCAGCATATTTAAAAGTAAGGGTAATTAGTTAACAATCTGGAAAGTTTAAACTTCATGAAATTTGTCTAATACTTGTTTGGTTTCCATAATGAGCTTTACAGGAAATGTTTGCAAAAAATGAGCGGTAAAAACTGAATCCAAATGCAATTTGGAATCAATAACGTCTGTAAAAAGGAAATTGTTGAAACATTTCTAAGAGTTGCGAATCATTCAATTACATCTATATAATAGAACATTGAGATATTTCAATTCATAATTTAGATTCTCCTCACACATTTTTCGCGAACACTTCTTAGATTGTTTAGTTGATAAAAAGTTCTCCGAACACTCTCTGGATTAATATAAAATGTAATCTTCAGATAATGTTATATAAAAGTAATTATACGATAGTAGGCGATTAAATCAATATAATGAAGACGACTTTAAACTATAAAACTTTACGAATTCAATTTTATTAAAATCCTATATTACTTAGAAACTATAAAGCTTTACGAATTCAATTTTATTAAAATCCTATTATATTTAGAAACAATAAAACTTTACGAATTCAATTTTATTAAAATCCTATACTATTTAGAAACTATAAAACTTTACGAATTCAATTTTATTAAAATCCTATACTATTTAGAAACAATAAAACTTTACGAATTCAATTTTATTAAAATCCTATATTATTTAGAAACTATATAAAACTTTACAGATTCAATTTTATTCCAATTCTATACTATTTAGAAACTATAAAACTTTACGGATTCAATTTTATTCAAATTCTATTCTATTTAGAAACCATAAAGCTGTTTTACAATGCGGAAGAAATGAATGAATTTCTGAGTTCAAACCAGGGAACTTTTAGAGTTTTTCTGTTAAATACCTCTCTATAATATTATATTTTTCAAACAACCTATCCTGGTAAAAATGGGAGAGAATTTGATGGTTCTCAAAGGAAAAGAGTTCTTGCCATGCACTAAAATGTTCTGAACCTTTCAGCTTTGCATCCTAATAGTGCAAAAACCATTTTTCAAACTTGGACTTTTTGATCTGGCAGAATTTTTTGTTTAAAATATCAATGGCCTTGTGCCTTTAAAGATATAGGAATTTAAAAATAAGAGTTTGGGGCAAGAATTCATTCCCGTTATTTGTTTTTTTTTAACCTTATAATTGACATAAAATTTGTTTTGAAAAAATGTGTTTATTGCAAACGGTAAGGTCCGCAGGGCGGGTGTCAAATTAATGTAAAATCTAACTCTAGCCCCAATATATTTTCTGATTTAGATCCAGGTTTAAAAATAACATATTTGAATTGTTCTTGAATTAAAAAAATGAAAACATGTCGTCTGCCAATAATATATTATAAAACTTCTTTCTTTAACTTTTGGCAATATTTTTGAAATTCAAGCTGTATTGTACATAGGGTGTCCCAATAAACATGGAAATTCAGTGACGAAATCGATATCGTCTTTGATATGAATTAGCATTGTAATACCGATTTCAAAAGACATACTATTATTATGTCTGCTAGAGTTTATTTAATGAAAATAGTAAATGGCTGTAAAGATGTGCCTAAAATGTCTCCGCAAGATGAACTGTGACGACAGACAAGTTACTCTGTTTATATACTGTATTTTCCTTGTTTTACTAAGTACAACCATATGCAGTCAAAACATAAACAAACAAATTGTCAGCATAGCAGACGAAAATCTTAGGTATCACTATACTAAATCTAAGAATTATTTCAAAAGACGATATCGAATTCGTCACTGAATTCCCATGTTTATTGGGACACCCTGTATCAGAGAGAGGTTTCAAGGGTGTCGTTGCCAATGGGGCATTGTCATCATTGCATGTCGGGTCACTTGAAATTACGCTTCCAGAGTTCCTGTCAAAGATTCTAAAACTTGTGAGTTTACTGTAGGCAAAGTTCTGGGCTGAACATGGTTTGGGATTTAGACAAATATCAGCTCAAGATTGCATTCAACTAGGAAACATCTCAACAATTTAAACAAAATTTAATTTCAAAAGAAAAATGGTATAGATTAATTCTTAATTCTTATTCAGAGATACCCTAAAAATTGTTGAATATGAAGACAACAGTTGTGAGTCTGTGTTCACTTTAAAGACAACAGTTGTGGGTCTGCATTCATTATAAAGACAACAGTTGTGGGTCTGTGTTCACTATAAAGACAACAGTTGTGGGTCTGTGTTCACTATAAAGACAACAGTTGTGGGTCTGTGTTCACTATAACGACTACTGTGTTTACTTTTTACTTTAAAGCTCATAAATTGAATCTCATATTCGTGTTCATGTTCCCCCGCTTTTTTATTGTTTTCACTGTAGAAAGGGAGGGAGGGCCGAGGGGGGGGGGACAAAAAACAAACATTTTGATTAAATTTCGATAACTGTTTTTTTTCTTTTGTGAAGCAAAGCAATTGATTCTTTGCCACAAAGTCAAATTTTCTACTCCCTATCACTGCAACCTGATTGTGTAAACCTTTGATATTTAAAACTTAGATTATTTTATCTAAAAGAATTCATAGTTTAAAATATCTAAGTTATGGGACTTTGTGTAAGAAAGATAAAGGGATTAGAACAAATTTAAAAAACCTAGCATTGTTAAATTTGACAAACTTGTAAAATACACTTTTATCTTTTTCTTTCACAATTTAAACCTTTGCTATTAAAGGACCCTTAAACTTTTCTGAAGAATATAAAGTTATTATAATATTTAGAATAAAGCTTCCAAGCTTATATCCCACTCTCTATGGTTAAAAAAATGAAAACTATAAAAAAATGGTTATAATTTCAATTTTAATTTTACTATCGGCTGATTTTTACCTTAGTGTTTCTTTTGATGAAAGAAGAATTAAATAATTAAAAAATCAATTTGAGATTTTATTTTAACAGAACCTGGCTTAAGAAATGTTTGCCAAACTGATGGGTAAGTAGTGAGTAGTGAGTAGTGAGTAGTGAGTAGTGAGTAGTGAGTAGTGAGTAGTGAGTAGTGAGTAGTGAGTAGTGAGTAGTGAGTAGTGAGTAGTGAGTAGTGAGAAGTGAGTAGTGAGAAGTGAGTAGTGAGTAGTGAGTAGTAAGCAGTATGTAGTGAGTAGTGAGTAGTGAGTAGTGAGTAGAGAGTAGTGAGTAGTGAGTAGTGAGTAGTGTGTAGTGAGTAGTGAGTAGTGAGTATTAAGTAGCGAGTAGTTACTAGTGAGTAGTAAGCAGAGAGTAGTGAGTATTGAGAAGTGATTAAATAATTAAAACAATATATTTTGTTCTTTTTAATGAATAATTTCAGTATTGTTGGAGGAGTGGTTTGTCCGTCTGATTCTAGCGGGGATATTGGTGTATATTGCTCAAATCTAGGAAAATAGTTATTTCACATAATTTCTTATCATGTGGGAAGTTTTTCCAGGAGCTGAGGTTTTTCAACTGTCAAACTAAAGTTTTTTGAAATATTTACATATATACACAGTGGTAGGACAGACAATATAAGAAGCAGTTAATTTAAAGGGATTAACAGAAACTGCAGCAGTGAATCAAAAGAATTGAAACTGCTAGGTTGGATCGGAGCTGTTGGAAACTGGATAGAGAAGATCTCAGGAAACCCAAGCCTTTGACTCTTGATGGAGAAGAACACAGGAACCCGTCGCTGAGCACAGGAAACCCAAACCTGTGACTCTGGATGAATAAGATATCAGGAAACCCAACCTGTGGAACTGAGGAAACTGTAGTTAAAGTATTTTACATCGCTTTAGTTCTTTGTTTCCTTTATTTTGTTTCATTTTTGATAGAAACGCTCAACTATTTTGTTCTTTTATTGGTGTGTGACTTGATGACTACTAGTATTTTGCAGATACCCCCTTTGGGTGGTTCCTTTCATATTTAACATTATTCCTCACTGAAAATACCTGACTTTTGGAACAAATATAACCTTAAATATGTTGTTATTAACTTATTCTGAAGGTTACTCTGAGAATGTAACAGTGCACATTTCTTTTTAAAATATTGTTATTTTATTGTGTATTCACGTAGAGTAAAAAGACAATAGTGTAGCAGGAAAGTGATGTGTTGATCTTTCCTGCGATCATAAATAGCATTTTTTCCCTCCTTCCATCATTCCCAGTTTCTCCCCCCACCCCTTTTTCCCATCCTTCATTAAATCTAACGGATTTATTCCTGTTTGTGTTTGAATTCTATAAATAACCCAAGCCACGCGGAGAAACCGAAGCCAAGCGCCAAGTTCCGTTATTCCAGAAACCCGGGGGCTGGTGGGCTAGCCGGCCAGCTCCCGGGGAACTAGGGTTAAATGCTAGCCCAGGGTGGAGCGAAATGCAGGGAAAAGAGTTAGTTGATCATCAGCTCCCTTAAATAGAGGTTCCCTTGAAGATTCCCCATCACTCTGAAATAACTTCAATTCATAATATTTGATTCGTATAGTATCATCTTTTTAGTTTTTGTATCTTTGTAAATAATAAAACTGTAAGAAAAACCGAGTCGTTGAATATTAGTAATACGAGTGATTGCCTTGATTAATTTTCCTTCATATGTAATAATAGTTTTATCCTAATCTTTTTCAGGTTTTCGAAATTTTAAAATGTGCGAAAAAACTGTAAAGGATCCAACATTTAAAACTTTATTCTATAAAAATTTGATGTTTTTTAAGTATGAAAAGTTTGCATCCTAAGCGAAAGTTTTTAAGTTTTTTGTAAACAATCAGTTTTGGTTCGTTTTCTTTTGCTTTTATGCATGGATTCCCACTCTCAGTGGAGGACAACAAATGTTGAAAATAAATTATATTTAATTTGCATAACTCAAACTATATTTTTGGAACCTTTAAAAATAAAAATCCATTAAGTTTTGTTCAACGATTTTAAAATTCATTTATATGAAAAAAACTGTTAAAAATAACTTTTTTTAGAAAAGCTCTGCAAAGGAAGAATTTAAAATCTGATCTACGACTTCAAAAAAAAGTTTAATGATAAACAATAATTGGCTTTTAATCATAAAAACAATTATTTGTTTAGAAGAAATGAAATCATTTCTCGAAAAATTTATCAATGTTATTGAACCCTGAACAATCATAATAGTTTTTCTTCAATATCGAACACTGATAAGGAATATTAAAGAAACAAAGTAAAATTTGTTAAATTAAGCATATTTTAAGCCTATGACGACAACTGAACGTCATGACACTAAAGCTCCAGCTCCTGCAGTTGTTGCAAACAAAAAGCACTGAGTCCACTAAACACTGGGTAAACTAGACGGGCTGGTACGAGATAATGCAGTAGACTGTTAAATCATTGAGCTGGTTCGGATCATGCATAGGACCGTGTGATGAAGGTGTTTTTTTCCAGGAAAAATGTTTCCAATTGGACAAAAAACTTTCCCTGAGCTTGTCACTTGCGTTGTCACGGTTTAGAACTTTTGATGTTTATTGAATACAGACAGACAAACAGACAAACAGACAAACAGACAAACAGACAAACAGACAAACAGACAAACAGACAAACAGACAAACAGACAAACAGACAAACAGACAAACAGACAAACAGACAAACAGACAAACAGACAAACAGACAAACAGACAAACAGACAAACAGACAAACAGACAAACAGACAAACAGACAAACAGACAAACAGACAAACAGACAAACAGACAAACAGACAAACAGACAAACAGACAAACAGACAAACAGACAAACAGACAAACAGACAAACAGACAAACAGACAAACAGACAAACAGACAAACAGACAAACAGACAAACAGACAAACAGACAAACAGACAAACAGACAAACAGACAAACAGACAAACAGACAAACAGACAAACAGACAAACAGACAAACAGACAAACAGACAAACAGACAAACAGACAAACAGACAAACAGACAAACAGACAAACAGACAAACAGACAAACAGACAAACAGACAAACAGACAAACAGACAAACAGACAAACAGACAAACAGACAAACAGACAAACAGACAAACAGACNAATGAGTAGTATTGTAGGTTGTAATGTATGAATGAGAGTTATTTTTAAAGTACATTTGTAAAATTTTAAGCTGCAATAATTAGCTACATTCACAGTATTTAAAATTTTCGAATTTGTATCGAAGTAATTAAAAAATTTATTTTATTTATTTTTCAAGAATTGTGTACACAAAATTTGAAGAAGAATTTGGAAAGCAATTTTAAATGAATTATTTTCTGATATCTTTATTTTCTGTTTTAAAATTATTAATTTTTCAACAAAATGAAAAGCTTCATGTCTGTGGGCGTTAAATATTTCGAGAACAAATTCAAAACAAAGTTGGTAAATATGCTTGTCTGTCTGTCTGTTTGTTTTTCCGATCGTAAGTCAGGAACAACTGGACCGATTTGCCTCAAATTTTGATTTTGGAACTTGGGAGACCCACGGAAATGTTCTTAGTTTGATGTTGAGATTCTAAGTTGAGTGGGTCGACTTAAATAGCGAAAATTTTATTTACAGGTAAAATCGTTTCAAGTGCTGGTAAACGGCAAGATTAACTTTTAATAACCTTGGCAGCGCTTGGTTCCCAAGCTTGTACAAAATATGTACAAAATATGGCCGCTTTTTAAGGGACTGTCCGCGTAAACTTCAAGTGGTCCTCCATTAGTAAACTGGCGTGTCTGATTCAAAACGATACCCCTTATAACTGATTCTTATGCTATAATTCGGGCACATGCACATGCACTCATCACAGCACTAGTTAGATAACAATGTATGCATTCTCACCAATAGGAATGGATTGTTTTATCTTTTATCAAAAACGAACTGATCAATTCCTCAACGATATAGAAAAAACGAAAAACGAAACGATCTTTTTTAAAAGTATTGTTTTTTAAATTAAAAACGAAGTGGTAGGTTTATAATTTTCGAGCAACTGCACCATCGTTCACAAAAGATTTTGTTCTTTCACAAAATGCTTTAGAATATTAAAATCTGCCATTTTTATTCAACTAAGGTGGACTTCAAGGCATTAAATATATACATTTTTTATTATTTCACATTGTACAGTAGATCAGATTATTCATGTACGTTTGTAAAGAACTGGGAGTAAAGATTATGTACAACTCTGGGGTGGAGAAACTTATAAAACGAGATGAACAGATTGTAAGCGCACAGCTCAGTAATGGACAGACTATGAGGTACAATGATACAATAACATTGAAAATTGTACTCCCCTTTTTGTATTTCACGTTTTGTACATACAGTCATACTCATATATAAGAAGACAGCGGAAGAATTTTTAAAATGTTGCCTTACAATTTTTCACTGGGTTTTGCCGCAGATAATTTTAATAATTTTTAATAGTATGAAGGATATTATTTATAAATTCGCGCCCCAGCTATATGAAGCTGTTGGATAACTTATTCCGCGTATTTTAGGGCTATTTATTTATCTTTACATAAAAAAAATTTTAACGTTTACATTCCTGATAAAAACTGTCAACACAGAAATTCAGCTTAGTAAATTTTATATATATTCCTGTTAGCAAAAAAGTTGAGAGATTGGGAAAATATAAGACAGCCACAAATTCAAATTCAACGCGGCATTATATAAATTCTATATGAGTTAATTGTATTATTTTTTTTTTATCTGGTTGAAAATAATTTTACTGATTGTATATGTACAAAAAATTGATATTTGGTGTTTCTTAGATTTTGTGAGTTAAAAAACTGCTAAAGAAGAAATGTGAAAGCCAATGAAAAGCTTAATTAACCTGACTGTAGAAAGTATAAAGAGAAAATGTTTTTGCAAAATTAACATTTTCTGAGAATTAAAACTTAATTATTGAACTATAAAACTATAGTAAATATGTTTTTTTTCTTAAAATTTTCGAGTAGTTAAATACATGACTTTCAATTCTAATGTTTCTAGATATTTTTTATGAAATTTCAGAAATTTTTTAGCTACAAAAATTAAATGCATTTTTAGTAATTTAATGGCTTTTCAATGCTAAAAGCATATATCATAGTTCGCGATATTTTCAAAATTTGCTTAAATAATCAGACTTTTTGTAGTGCAGACGTGTATGTTCTATGTGTGGGGGTTGGATCTAAACAACTTGGTGAAACTGTTGGAATAAATCTACCAGTCTATCCATTAAAGGTAGTTTAGGGCAGTGATCTAGCTGCAGTACTGCACGTACTCACAGAAGATATAGTGAGTTTCAGACAAGAAACATTGAATCCCAGATACAGGGTGTCCCACGAAACATGACAGTTGGTGAATAGTTTTAAATGTCTTCTCCCATGATACTGTATTAGTTATTTAAGACTTTTTGCAGTTTATTTCGTTAAATAAATCTTTTACTCAAATATATATTTCTTTGAAATCAATTTTACGATAATATCACTGCCATTTAGTATTTCTTCTCATAATCTTTGGTATCAAACAACTTAACAAATCATGGAAGAAAACATTTGAAACTGTTCACCAACTGTCATGTTTCGTGGGACACCCTGTATATGAAAACATAGCAAGAGTTTTTTATAATGTCGTGTTACACATACAAATGCCGCGTAAAAATGAGTTTAATATTAATTTATTAATTGCATTTATATTTCAGTCTATTGATTTACCTTAAATTAAAAATAAAAGGAAGTTTGTTTAGAATTTTCAAAAAACGGTCTATGTAATCATATATCTCGGATTCACTGTAGTTAATTTATTTTTAATTAATTTTATTTTTCGAAGATCTCCTAACAAATAATCAAAATACAATGTGTCAAAGGATGAATAGAAATTTTTAAGAACGTAATTAGAGATGTTGAGAACAGATTATTTATTGAATACACAATCATTAAATACACAATATGAACACACTACAACGTTCAATCTGAAGTTTATAAATATATTTATATATAGCATATTTTATTCATAATTAACTAGCATTGCCCGTGGAATTTTAGAAATTCTTGAAAACAAAATTTCTAAATTTTGAAGAAAAAATCAATTTTTTAACCTTTGCTACCCCCAGGGTTTCCTCAAAAAATGTCAGCCAAGTCGGTCCAACCGTTTGGCCAGCTGTAGCTTACATATATGCATACAAATATACAAATATATATAGTTAAACCCTAAATATAGAATACATAGGAAAAATTCATCAAATGTCGTCTTAAACACTTTTTAATCGGTTATGCCTCTGAGAATTTCATAACTAGAGGCGTATATCCTTAAATCTTAGTAATTGTACTGAATGTACTGAAGCTGTCGTATATTTTCTCAAGCTGCCATTCCACAAAGGAAGCTGCTCGAAGCTTAACAAAGGGATATATGTTGATTACAATAACAATATAAAAATTTCTTTGTTGAAAGTAATATTTTTCCCCGAATGCAAATTTTTGTTTCTCTTTTTTTTTGTAAAAAAAAATCGCTTGAAATATGCGGGGACTATGTGGACATCTTTTAACAGATATTTAATCAATAAAAAACCCAAATATTTGCGGCATTTTATTGTCAGGAGATTTAGAAAACGACATTTAATATTGTTGCAGAAAAATAATACCCTGTCTGCAGTAGCAGGAAATTTAAAGTGATTCTGTATATGTGGTTTTAAAATGAAACAAGAATAACTGAACAATAATTTATTACTTTAAATACAAATATTTGAGTTCCACTCTTGAAAATAGAGAGTTCTGTGGCACTGATAGATTCGCAAGACTCTTCCGAACTAAACAAAAGTTAGGTTAAACAAGCATTTAAAAGTTTACAGCCATAAGGGTCCCATAAAAGGTCCAATAGTTACAGCTGTAAAGAAGCTAAAGTTAAGCTTATAATTCATAAGTTTAAAGCTTAAACCATGGTATTAACCAAACTCAACTCTGTTTACTTTAATTGGAATGNGAAAGGCGTCTGTTATAAGAACTTTTCGGAATACATTTATTAAATCAAAACCACATAACTTTGACAATCTATTTAATGAAAATATTTTCTTGTAAATATAAGTTTTAAAGGAAATGACCAGTAATGTATGGTAGTTGAACTGAGAATGTAGTATTGTGGAGGAATTTTTTACGATTCATTTGAGACATATATAAAACATTTTAATGATATACATATAATCACTGAGTTTGAGCGCAAAGTCGACGTTACGTTATATGAATCATTATTTTTTAAATTATTAAATAACGACGACGAAAAATGTATCAAAATTCTAAAGTAACTAATTAGATGTTTAGGAACTTATTTCTCAATAGGAATTTCTCAATAAATTATTTTATTGAATTTCTTATTCTTTACGAATTTATTCGCAGATTTCTATAAATTCTTCAAATGTTGTCTTTTCCATAATTGGTTTAATTGGTTTGTTAATGTTTATATATCACAGGTGGGATAATTTAAAACATCTCTTTTCTAACTTTATTGGTCTTTCAGTAGTTCTACCAGTTATTGAACTTGTTTTTGAAAATGTTCGGATGTTCATCACTTCTGATTTTATATGAAATATCATTCAAATATTATAACTCTTGCAATAAAAACGTTTTTCCGTATTTCCGTGTGCCCAACAGGAATCTTCAGATTTAAAGGATCAGCTGGACATTCTGGTTTGTCTTTCATTTTCTCCTACTCCTAGTAAATAAGCAGAGCAGAGCTGTCCATGTAGGATTTTCTATACTTGAATCATATCTTTCCTCTTCCTCTCTCAGTTTATCTTCATATGTAGTTCCTGAGAGTCCAGAAGTCATGAAAATAACTCTTTTCTGTACTTTTCCAGGATTTCTTTATCTTTAGTCAGCCAGGGATTCCAGGCTTGTATACAGTATTCAACATGGGGCCGAACATAAGTTTTATGCAGAGATCTCCAAACGGTTTTGGATAATCTAAAAAAATTGATTCTCAAAATGTAAACACCCAAATGGATGATTTTAAAAATAGACTTTGCGCTCAAACTCAGTAATTATACATCATTAAAGCGTTTTATGAGCCTCAAATGAATCCTTAAAAATGTCTCCACAATACTAATCCTTAGTTCAATTACCATATATTGCCGGTCCATCCCTTAAAGTAATTTATTAAATCCATGATTATCTGGTTTTATCATTAAATTATCATTTTAAATTTTCACTAAAAACATGACATAAGCTTTATATATCTCCAAATATTCAAAAACGCAATTTAATACTGCGTTGTAAAAACAGTCTAATAACAATTTCAACAGAATGTTGAGGTAGCGGTTGGAGTTTCTGGTGGGATAGGGTCTCCGAAGAGTTAGGAATAGAAGGGAAGAAACAACTGACGCGGTTCACCCTACCATACGATATACATGCTTTGCAGACGGTACTTCCTTTGAATAAGAAATATTTGTCTGATGAACAATTACCATTTATACAATAACCTATTCTGAATATTTCATATACAAATGTAGTACTGTCTGCAAAGCATGTATAATCATATGGTAGGGCGAACCGTGTCAGTTGTATCTCCTTTCTATTCTTTACTCCCTGGGTCTCCGGTAGCACTCCGATGATGCTGCTTTCTTAAAAGTTTTAGCAAAAAAAATACGTTTTTTTAGATTTAAATAAAAAAGAATTCGAATGAGATTGTTTTTCGTTAAATTTCATGTAATGTAATTCACAATTTTTCGAAATTATTTATATTTTCTTTATAATCTTTGAAGGGATTGGTCCCTATTTCAAAATACTGACGATAAAACAACATTATTAGGACCACAATTACATACCAAACATGGCATTTAATAAATAGCTATTTTGAGTTAAACAAATCTTTTGCTTAATTATATTTTACTTTGAAATCAATTTTGATATAATATGACTCCCATATAATATTTGTATTGATATTTGGTATCACACAACTTAACAAATTATGGAAAAAGACATTCTAAACTATTCACCAACTGTCATGTTGGAGCCATCCAAAAACTTTTATAATTCTTCTCGCGTTTTGCCTGAATACACAGCCTAATGCTCGTTGTTTTTACTTTTTTTCAACATTTTTTATTTGATAAAAAAGAAGCTACAAGAAATAGAAAGGCCTCTTAGAGCGGTTGAGAATAAATTTATTTAGTTTTCTCTTTCATGCCATATATAAAGGTTTTTGTCAATTCATTCAGCCATGAGCCACATATGGAAGGAAAAACAGATGTTGCTTATGGCTACATGCCTTCTCCTCGCTCACAATGTGCAACAAAAGAATTATTCCCTATTAGTGAGATTATTGTAATGTTCAGGGTCATCTTGCAACCATACATTCTAACCCCGACTATCCTTCACTTACCAGGAATATTCTAGATACAAGATATGGACTCATCAGGTATTTATCTAGATATTATCAAGTAAATAAATATCCAGGTTTATTATCTTTAACCCTATTTACTCTAACGTCAGGTTTCATGCCTGGTCAATAATCTGCAAGAAAATGGCAAATTTGCAAAAATCCAAACATTCATTGCGAAATTTAGTTATTAAGCAAAACTTGTGCACCAAAAGAAATTGAGCAAATTGCAAAAATTTACATTTTTAATAAGCCATTGACCCAGCAAATTCAAACGTGCAAAAACATTCTCAAAATTTTTACAACGTAAATGTGTATTCAAGAAAAGCTAAAAATTTGCAAATCCCTTGAAAGGCGTCTGTGAAAAAATCTGTGCAAACTTTCTTAGCAAAACTTGTCCAATCGAGTAGCTTTTGTTATAAGCTTTATAAAGAGCTATAAAATGTAGAAATCCAATGACTGGAAATAGGTCTGAGGATTCAGGCTGTAGGTATGAAAGTCCAGCTTTTAGCCTTAAGTGATGGGCATATGTGTTGTCGGATCGTAGCAAGATTCTCAATAATGAACAGTTAGACAACGGGATAACCCTCAAATCGAAAATCGATAATGCAGAGAAACTCTTTATTTCCTAAAAAAATGAAATGGATAATAATACATATATTGTTACTAAGTTTTATAATTTATAATGAAAAGATTCTTACGATCTATTTATTGATAAGAAGGTTAAACTGTCGGAGAGTCCTAAGACGTTTTTATATATTAAAACTTCTGAAAAGAATGGCAATTAATTGTTAACGAAAGTCACTAATTCTTTATATGAAAATATTTTGTTCACAATAATAAAAGTATTTAGACTCCGTTACCGAAGAACAAAGAAAATGGGGCAAAAATTATTTGGTTTGGTGTCTCCGAGAGGGGATTTTAAGTTAAAGACGACATTACATGGATGGGCGAGGGTCTTGTAGTTAATGGTTGACAATATGTTAGTTAGAAAATTAAAAATTTCAGCTTCCTAACTCATATACTTTTTGAGTTAACGCAAAAAATGATAGGGGGTTAAAATTGACTCCCCCCCCCCAGGGTAAATAGGGTTAAAGGAGATAATTGTAAATATTCTAGTCCCCTGAACCCTACTAGTATACGGCTATCTGGAAGGGTTGAGGCAGTTGGATATAATTATGCTGTGGAACCAGAGAAGGGAAAACAACTAGCTGCAGCGGTAAAATGACTATTTTATTGATTAAATGATTGATTGATTGATTAATTGATTGATAAATTGATAAATTGATTGATAAATTGATTAATTGATTGAAAAATAAACAGAAATTTTGTTATCAACGAATTATTTACTTATTAGTTAAAAACTATCGGAAAGAAAAAAAAACTTAAGAGACAATGTTGTTAAATAAATATTTTTTACTTTAAAACCTAAAACTTGATCAGATGATGAAGTTCTGTTAACAAGAAAATTGCTTGAAAGAACACATAAAAGGACATAAGTTTTAACCCAATAATTCCATTAAGGAAGGGATTGAAAAGTACAAACTTGCGCAGCCCTAAGGATTCAAATCTTTTTGATTAATTACATATAATCTCAAAGTACTGAGAGGGATTAACTTTTATTCATTGAATAGGGTTCAATAAAACCAGCAATTGAATAAAATAAAATAAATCCATCAATTGCATAGGGTCCAATAAATCGAGCAATTGAATAGGGTCCAATAAATCCATCAATTGAATAGGGTCCAATAAATATGATTTGTTTTCAAAAAGCTTAAAGGGAGTAACCGGCTATGTAAGATAGTTGAACTGATTAGTGAGTATGCAGTGTTGTGGAAAACTTCTTTCGGATTCATTGAGACATATTAAACTTTTTAAAGATCTGTAAATTTTGAGTTTGAGCGCAAATTCGACGTTCAAAACTCTTACTTGGGGGTGGATACATTTTCAGAATTAGTTTTTTTTAAATTATTAAATAACGACAACGAAAAATGAAGTAAAAATTATACAGTAATCTAATTAGATGGTTAGGAACATATTTTTTAAAGGAAATTTGTCATTAAATCAATTATTTCGTTTTCATTATTATACTGAATTCCTTATTTTCTTTGAATTTATTTGCTGATTTCTTCAAATTCTTCAAATGTCGCCTTTTCAATAATAATTCTAGAAAATCTGTGAAAATCTTTGTAAATAATGATAAACCAGAATAATGAGAAAATAAAAAATAATAATTGAACAAGATTACTTATTTTCCTTGATAAGATTAATTTTTATTTTCTCATCATGCTACTATACATGACGTCTGCAGTTTATTGTAGAACTTTTTTTACATTTTAGTTATTTAATTATTCAAAAAAACTTATTCTGGAAAAGTATCCACCCCCCGAAGTAGGATTTTGAACGTCGAATTTGCACTCAAACTCAGGATTTACAGATCTTTAAAAAGTTTAATATGTCTCAAATGAATCCGAAAGAAGTTTTCCACAACACTGCATACTCAGTTCAACTACCTTACATAGCTGGTCACTCCCTCTAAGCAACCTTTTTTATGTCGAATGTACTTATTTGAACCTCATTCTAAAATTACAACAATTATAGACTTAATGCTTTGGAATCCAGTTTTACCTGGAAACTAAATATAAAAAATGTAAACCAAGCTAAGCAAAATTACTGTGGTTTACTAAGTCCCTAACTAAGTCCCTAACTAAGTCCCTAACTAAGTCCCTAACTAAGTCCCTAGCTAAGTCCCTAACTAAGTCCCTAACTAAGTCCCTAGTCAAAAGTTAAAGGCAAATTGGGCAAGGGTTTCAAGAGTTATTATTAGACATATTAACAAACAAACAGACAAAGTGAGATCAATACTTTATAGATATACAATATAGATTTATCTGTATTCATTGTATTTCCTTGGAAATGAAAAAAAATTAATCGTATTTGGATTTACAACATAAAACATTAAATCTGTTAAATATTTATTATGAAACTATTGTGTACTTAATCATTCTTCCTCACTTCATCGTGAATTTCATAATGAGCGTGCTGTAAAGTAATCATCGTGCTATAAAGTTAAATTAGCTGTACGTTATAGCACGTGTGCTTATTTGGAACAACATGCTATAAAGTTTTCTCAACATCTCAAAGGTTTTCGCCTTTTTAGATTATATTTAGATTATATATTTAGCTAAAGCTCGGGACAGAATTAAATCTAGAAAAACCTTAAACCTTCACATTGATAAAGAGAACATTTCCGTCCAAAAACACCGCAAACCAAAATAACAGTGTTATAAATAGTTAAATTTTATTTTTTTCAGGTAAAAATGGTTTTTAAACCCAATTTTCTCCGTACTGATGAGGTTAGTTTAAAAAAGACTCAAGTGTTACCATGATGATAAAAAAGAAAAATTAACGACCAGGAAATTGGTCATGTTCTGGATATAGAACTTATATGCAGGACGAGTAAAAAATAGATTATGCAAAGTTGTTTTACAAAACAATATATAAACAAAGCCATGTTGGAAGGGTTATGTTTTAAATAGAAAAGTATTGAAAAAATTGAAAATAATTATATCCGAAGAAAAAATGATGTTGTTTGCCGATTTTTTTCTATGTACTAAAATAATCACGCATATGTTTAATTAATTTACTCATGTCTTTCATTTTAAAGCTGTTGGAAGTATATTTTTTTAAACACAAGAACAAGCCATGAAAATTATAAGATTTTGGTATAATAATTTGCCCCAGAGCAAACCCTTTAACCAATAAAAAAATTGCTGTTTTTTACTTCAAATCTTGAAATTGCAGCAGTTTTTATTGAACAAATTTTCGACAAGGGGAAAATCCCCCCTTCACAAAAGCTGTTTTATTTTTTTATTGTGAAATGTTGCTAACATTATTAGAGATATTAGTTTGCAACAATTACAAAAACTATCCAAGGGACATTTCTATGGCCCTCCATGCAAAGACTTACAATGATACCCTTGACACCTTTGACCGTTCATTGAGTAAAAAGATGTCTCTGTTTAAGCATATTGGAACCTGCTTGAATTCCTCTAAAACGATGTCTCATGTTTAGGCATATCAGAACCTGCTTGAATTCCTCAAAAACGATGTCTCTGTTTAAACATATTGGAACCTGCTTGAATTCCTCTAAAACAATGTCTCTGTTTAAGCATATTGGAACCCGCTTGAATTCCTCTAAAACGATGTCTCATGTTTAGGCATATCAGAACCTGCTTAAATTCCTCAAAAACGATGTCTCTGTTTAAACATATTGGAACCTGCTTGAATTCCTCTAAAACCATGTCTCATGTTTGCATATCAGAACCCGTTTGAATTCCTCTAAAACGATGTCTCATGTTTAGGCATATCAGAACCTGTTTGAATTCCTCTTAAATGATGTCTCATGTTTAGGCATATCAGAACCTGCTTGAATTCCTCTTAAATGATGTCTCATGTTTAGGCATATCAGAACCTGCTTGAATTCCTCTAAAATGATATCTCATGTTTAAGCATATTGGAACCTGCTTGAATTCCTCTAAAATGATGTCTCATGTATAGGCAAATTGGAACCTGCTTGAATTCCTCTAAAATGATATCTCATGTTTAAGCATATTGGAACCTGCTTGAATTCCTCTAAACAATGTCTCATGTTAAGGCATATCAGAACCCGCTTGAATTCCTCTAAAACGATGTCTCATGTTTAGGCATATCAGAATCTGCTTGAATTCCTCTTAAATGATGTCTCATGTTTAAGCATATCAGAACCTGCTTGAATTCCTCTAAAATAATGTCTCATGTTTAAGCATTTCAGAACCTGCTTGAATTCCTCTTAAATGATGTTGAAATTCTCTGAAACGCGGCACTTACGGTCACTGCAGCTGATCTTCGCCAGTGAAAGGTTAAAATGGTACTGTTGTGATTCTGGGATGTTTTTAAAATGAAAGACAGTTGAGTTTACGCTTACAGTCCCTTAGTTAAAATTGAAGAAAATAACGAAACTCATTCCTCAGTTTATATGTTATATTTATATATTTAGGCAACCTATCACTCTTGCTTGAGACCAGTTAGTGGCGACGACTTAGCAATAATTGGTCAGACAAAAATACAAAACCTCTTTGTTAATACAGGTCAGAAACATTGATGCGTATATATATATATATTCATCGATATATTTTCTAAAGCAAAGTTACATTAAACAATATAAAGTTTACAATTTACATCTAATATACTTTTGTTCTTGGATATCGTATTTTACGATTGACAGGGTTTGCCAAAAAAACAGGTGCAATACAAGACTTGTAGCAATAGTATAGCTTAGTTATTCAGAGGTGGTTTTCAGAAATGATGTCTCTTAAGGTACCTGTCTAGTGTTTTTAGTTTTCTAAAAATGTGGTATGATGACAGCACTGCATGGCTTGATAGATTTTTCGTACTGTAGTGACGAAATAAATAAGACCAAATGAATAAGACCAAATAAACTGACTGAATATATATTTATCAAATACAGTATTTATACCAGATGCAGTATATCATAATCTAAACAATAACATATGAAGTATGGAATATGCTGTGTACTGCATTCCAGGAATCCAGGGGCGCCACAGTACAATGCTTTAAAATCAACATTGGGTTTGCAATACTTATGCAGTTTCTTTAGATTTGCTCTTAATTGATGCTGAGATATATCCTCTTGAGCCGATTTCAGAAGGGTGAACAGACACATCCCTAGCTGTTATATCTGTGAGAAAATGTTCATATTTGTTCATCTTTTGAGTGTCAGCATTTTTATTATGTATTTCCATTTTTGGTATATCTTTAAAATAAAATGGTTTCCTCCCTAATTAATTAGACAACAATTTGCCCTGAAACTTTTTTGACAATATATTCACTAAACGAACAAACTTGCTAGTGAATGTGTTAATTAATGATTAAACAATATATGGATGTACGGGATTTTATTTTATTTTTCTGACGAAATTGATTTTAAAAAGTGTCTTGCGGCTTTGGTTCAGAGACAATTCAGGAAATTGTTGGAATTTAGCACTAATAAAGTTAGAAAAAGGATAATTTATTGGCCTTATCGTTACTCGATTACAGCTTTGAGCAATCGTGCATGCCACTTTATACGTAGATTGTTACGTGAAATTACGTGTACAGCCCTTTTTAATCAATAATGTAATCTTGTTTTTGAACATTTAGGCCAGGGCAGTAAGGGTTGGACTTATAGCTGGGGATCATCTAAACTAATTGCCCAGGTATAGATCGACTGTAAACTGTAAATTTGATCTACAATGAGAAACAGAAAACTATGGAATAGAAAAAATGACTTTCAGACTAAGTCTTTGCCACAAACTCTGATTTTCTAGTCCCTATTTCTTTGCAACCAAACGTATTAGATCGTAGATATTTCAAACTATAATAGATCAAATAATGTAAGTTTGGAATTTCAAAGGGTTACACCATCAGGCTGCAAACATAGAGAATAGAATATATATTAGAGGGGAATTGTCTACATGACTTTTTTAAAATCAAGCTGCACATCTAACATTAATTTGGTTGAAATGACCTTAAAAAATTGAAGTAATATCACGTGTCCATTTAATATTTGTCAAATATTTTTCAACATTTTTCCGACATACTTTTAAAACGTGTTTAACCACCCTATCGCTCTAACCATTATAAATAGATTTAATTTTGTAAGTGGGCTGGTCCTGAATGGTCAGGCAGTGACATGTTTTACTTTCCCAACGCTAAGGTCAAAATCATTGAGGAGAAACCCCCCCCCCCCCATTAATATTTGACAATAATAGCCCAATATGGTAAAACATTGATTAAATGTCGTCTTTCTATTTCACAGTTTTCTGGTTCTTATTGTAGATCAATGAATCATTCAATACCTGGGAAATTAGTTTAGATGATTCCCAGGTAAAAGTCCAACCCTTACTGTCCTGGCCTAAATGGTAAAATTACAGTCCCTTTAAACAAGATAAAGCTGTACTGAAGTCTGTAAGTGTTATTTCAAATGACCTTTCAAATTTCAATAAACAATTTACAACCTTACAGCTTTTTCTGATTAAATAATTAATTAGAAATCCATGTTTTATTTTATGTATATACAATTTTAGAGTTATAAAAAAAATGGTATCTTCCACATTTTTAATCAGATTAAGGTTTCGAGGGTACCGTTGTAAATCTGACATTGCCATTGATGCATGGAGGGTCACTTGAAATTTCGCTTACAGTCTCTTTGATTTAGTTTTTTGACATACACACTTAGGCCATGGGAGTAATGGCTGGACCTTTAGCTAGGGATCATCTAAGCTAATTGCCCAGGTCCTAAATAATACAGTGATCTACAAAAAAAATTGAAGTTATGAAACTAACCCGGAATTTGATGTACTCTTGTAGTTAATTCTATTTTTTCTTATTAAAAATCTAAAACTTTTGAATATTCGGGAAAGAGCCTTTTGGTTTGGGGAAAATGAATTGTTCAAATTTTTCAAATATTTGGAACAAAAAAGAGAAGGATTAATCAAATTTTAAATATTGCATTTTTTAGATAATTTGCGGAGAGGAGACTAATTTAGACCCAACAAGGAAAATAGTGAAAAAATTATCAAGTTTAACACCAAAATCACTAAAAATTACTAAATTATATGAATTACTTTAAATTCGAATTTAGGAAGATCACAAGTAAATCTATTTTACACAGCACGTTCTAAGATGTTCCTAATTTTGAATTAAGTGAAAAAATCTCTTTCAATGAAATATTTTTTTGTGCTATTCTTACAGATTTTCTCCCTTGAGATTCCATCCTTTCCGTGGATATCTGGGCTAACCATAGTTCAGAGAAGACACTAAAGAATGAATGAAAATAGAAGCGTTATGATGGAATAACAATATAAATTAAATTCAAATTTAGATTTAGTTTAAATTCAAATCTAAAAATATGATTAAAATTTGAAATATAGAAACGAGTAAGAATTTCTTATATTTTAATTAAATGACTGGAAAAAATAGAACAATTATAACGACGGAGTTAAAATATAGTAAAATAACAGCAAAAGACAAATTGAAAATTACAATTTTGAAAGAGAAAACCTGAACATTTAACCTTACAAAACATTAACTACAATTAAGGAGTTATTGTTTGAAGATTCTTTAAATCAGGAAAAGTGACCGTGTTTTGAAAAACAGGGAACAGTCCCTTTACAAAATTACTCTTAAATATAATAAATTTCGCAGAGTAAACATAAATGGAAATAAACTTCAGGTTTTTTCGGCTTTACACTCATCAGTAACATTTTTAAAACTGAAGAAACTATGTGATATTCTGCGCGAACTGAACTAGTGAAAGCTTTGAGTGTGTGTCAACTTTTTACTGGATGCTTGGGTTACGAAACCCCTCAATCCTATTTTAATCATACAAGTTGATTTATCCCGCAGAACCATCGATATATTAGTAATATTAGCATCTGGAATTTTAGACGTCTTGTTGTACTGTACACTGTACACAATGACCCGATCCGAAATTCTACCTGGGGGGATCATAATCCATAGATCAGTGTTATAAGACATTATTGTTTGAAAGTGAAGCCTACAATATTCAAGCAAAGAAAACAAGCCCATATGATTTTTGTATAAAAATGAGACATGACAAATAGAGAAAAAAATAAAATCCTTCTCATTAATAACATCTTGTTTCTTATCAAATTCTTTACTTCTAAAATCTACATTGTGCATTAACTCTTAGGAATATAGGTTTCTGACTTTTAGCATGAAAAGCAATTCTGAACGAATAATAGATCTAAATTAGGTTAGACTTAATTTTAAAGTTATTGAAGAACTGAAAACTGTTAAAATATTTATTTTACATAAATGAACTTAAAATGAAACAAGTGATTTTTAAATATAAATAATCTATTGGTTTTGAAGGAGCACAAGTTTTGAAAGCTTTTGAATCCATTTTGGTTCTTCTAAATGGATAGATGCACCCTATACAGGCTGGGGGGAGGAGGGGGTCAATTTGAACCCCCCCCCCTGTAGTTTTTTTTTTTACATAACTCAAAAAGTATTGTTCTGAGGATGTTGAAATTTTCTGACTTTTCCTAATTTTCTCCCTTTAGGCCTAAAGTCAGGCTTTAATACTAACTGCCTGAGTCCTCTGCTGCTTTTTCCTGTAACAAACTAAATCTTTGTTTTGAACAAATTCCACTTGTCAGATTTTGATAAATTTTAGCTTTTTGGAAAGCCTTTGACATAAGGAAACGAATTGCACAAGTTTTGCAAAAAAAATTGCAAATTTTTGGCAAAAAACCTGTCAAAGGAAATTTGCACATTTTTAGTTTTTCTTGATTAAAAATCAGGTTATTTAAAATTTTGCAAAAACTTTAGCATATTTCATTTTTGGACAAGTTTTTTTTCAAATATTTTTACAATATAACTGGATTTTGCGATAAAAAATTCAATTTTTGAACATTATCAAATTTTTTTTTGCAGATTTTAAAAGTAGAGCACAATAGCTTTCCAATGATGTATCATTTGTCATATTTGGACATCAAACATGGGATTAAGAGAGGGGGGGTGGTCAAATTGACCACCCCCCAGCATATCCTGGTTTTCAAGTACCCCAGCAGAGATAGGGTTAATATTTTTTTGGAAACATCTATTGTTCTTTTTGACTGTTTTACTTCTGGAAATTAAATGTTTCCTTAAATCTGTGGATCTAATATCTACAAATTTTAATTCAGGAGGGAACTGCATCATTTCTGAGTATTTTGCTATCTTTGTTTCTATAACAATTTTTGTCAAAATGTTCACTGCATATAAAAATTGGGTGTTTTGTCTTCCAGATAACTTGTTCTATCCACTCTTTTCGTATGTTATGAAAAATTTCTGAACCCGAAACATCGTTGTTTACAAAACTTTTGACACTGCAATATCTCATTGTTGAAAAATAATAAAATTAACTGTCTACACAATACCGCACAAATAGAAGTACTTAGGATTAAACCCACTGTACTCTATGATACCAAATCAGTCATAAGGAAACATTTTTCAACAAAATTCACTGTACAGTATAAACCTAGCCAGGGAAAATTAGGAGAGTTATGCCCACCCCCTGCGCAGAACAGAAATCCTATATGTTTTCAATTGAAATCTTATAAGTTTTCAATTGAAATCTTAAATATTTTCAATTGAAATCTTATACAGTGAAACCCTTTATAACGAATACATCTAAAGAATTCATAAAATGTCGTATTCTTCACTTTCTGATAATGGAATGTTGAAAAATTGTCAAGACGACATTTGAAAAATTCTTCCGATGTATTCGTTATTAAGGGTTTTCAATTGAAATCTTATATACATTCAATTGAAATCTTAAATATTTTCAATTGATATCTTATATGCTTTCAATTAAGATCTTATATTTATTAAGGGTTTTCAATTGAAATCTTATATACATTCAATTGAAATCTTAAATATTTTCAATTGATATCTTATATGCTTTCAATTAAGATCTTATACTCTTTTAATTGAAATCTTATATACTTTCAATTGAAATCTTATATACTTTCTATTGAAATCTTATATACTTTCAATGGAAATCTTATATATTTTCAATTGAAATCTTATATGCTTTCAATTAAGATCTTATACTCTTTTAATTGAAATCTTATATACTTTCAATTGAAATCTTATATACTTTCTATTGAAATCTTATATACTTTCAATGGAAATCGTATATATTTTCAATTGAAATCTTATATACTTTCAATAGAAATCTTATCAGCTTTCAATTGAGAACTTATAACTTATAATTCAATTTAAATGTTATATATTTTCAATTGATATCTTATATAGTTTCAATTGAAATCTTATATATTTTCAGTTAAAATCTTAATATATGCTTTCAATTGAAATCTTATATAATTTCAATTGAAATCTGATATGCTTTCAATTAAAATCTTATATACTCTCAATTAAAATCTTATCAGCTTTCAATTGAAAACTTATAATTTATAATTCAATTAAAATGTTATATATTTTCAATTGATATCTTATATAGTTTCAATTGAAATCTTATATATTTTCAATTAAAATCTTATATGCTTTTAATTGTAATCTTATATACTTTCAATTGAAATCTTATATGCTTTCAATTGAAATCTTGTATGCTTTCAATTGAAATATTATATGCTTTCAATTGAAATATTATATGCTTTCAATTGAAATCTTATATGCTTTCAATTGAAATATTTTATGCTTTCAATAGAAATCTTATATGCTTTCAATTGAAATCTTATATGCCTACAATTGAAATCTTATGTGTTTTCAATTGAAATCTTATATACTTTATATATGTAGCATATGTATATGTATTTTGGCAACAACACAACAACAAATCTATGATAAATAAGAATAAATGATTGAGTTCATACTGGGATGTTGCCAGTTCTCTGGCTGGAAGTGTGGTGTGGGCCCTCTACCGTACTGTACTAAATTGATAAAACAAACTGCAAACAAAGTATTAGTTTTGAATAAAAAGACTTCTATCGACGGACATGGGATGAGAGGAATGAATGAGACCAGTACAAGTTGGTATTATGGTAAATTAAAAACATGCCGAGGATTAATTAATGAGAGGGCAAGGATCAGGACTCATAAAAAAATATTTTAAATATTTTCACACTTTTTTTTAGTAATTTCAGTTTTTAAGCTAAAGAAAAACAAATTGTACATCTGAAACAATTATTAACGGTGAAATGCATGAATAAATGCGAGTTTTAATATCTTCAGGTCTGCAAATATTGAAAAAAGTTTTATACATTCTGAATATCTTAATTCATTAGAAATAATCATCAAAGTCTGCTTGATCTTTAATCAATTTATTAATCAATTTAATATCATCAGGAAAACTGGTAAAAACTGAAGCAAACTTGAATACAGGACATGGGACAATCTTTCACTTTTCAGGGAGCTGAAATCTAATTGCACCTCTAGGCGCAAAGGCATGTTCTGAATAATGTAATCTAAAATTCTTTAGGTTTATCACACCAGTAATCTTTTGCCTAATTTTCTTAATTTCCTTTTGTATTTAGAGGAACTATTCAGATATCAAGATAAAGTGGGATATAGTCAGCTTTATAGTTAGCATTTATTTTATTCTCAAGTAGGGATGTTAACGTTTTAATTTTTCAGAAAAACGATCGTTTCGTTATGAAAACGACGACGAAAAATCGAAAACGAAACGGTCGTTTTTAAAAACGATCGTTTTTTTAAAAAGTTCGTTTTTTAAAAATGGTCGTTTTTAAAACGATAGTTTTTCAAAACGCTCGTTTTTAAAGACGATCGTTTTTCAAAACGATCGTTTTTATAAAATTTGTCGTTTTGTTAACGATCGTTAACGACGACCCTTCATTAACGATCGTTAACGACGGACCTTTGTTAACGATCGTTAACGATGACCCTTCGTTAACGATCTTTACCGACGACCCTTCGTTAACGATCGTTAACGACAACCCTTCTTTAACGATCGTTAACGACGACCCCTTCGTTAACGATCGTTAACGAAGAGAGGAAACCGACCTGAAGGGCATCTGTACTAATCATTGAGTAAAATTAAGAAAATATCAAGGAGTTTTAACTCCCCCACAACTGTTAAACTTCATGTAAGACGACATTCAATAAAGTTGCATGTAATTTTTTTCCAAAAACGACCGTTTTGATTAAGTTCGTCGTTTCGTTAACTATCGTTAACGACAACCCTTCGTTAACGATCGTTAACGACGACCTTTCATTAACGATTGTTAACGACGTCCCTTCGTTAACGATCGTTAACGACGACCCTTCGTTAACGATCGTTAACGACGACCCTTCGTTAACGATCGTTAACATAATTGTCGATAAAAATTTTTTTTCAAAACGATCGTTTTTTCAAAAACGATCTTTTTTTTAA